TGATCGCGCTCGAGGGGCTGGACCGCAGCGGCAAGACGACGCAGGTTAAGCTCCTGGAGCAGCGCTTTGTCGAGCTGGGGCGCAAGGTTAAGGTCATGCGGTTTCCGGGTGGGTGCTTTTTCTTTTTATCGACGTCTTGCTCTCTTGTCACACTTGGTGTCACAACTCTACATCCTCAGGGACTTTTGAGGATGCCAACTTACAACACGACAAAAAAAAAACTTTCTGTATTCATGAATAATACTAATGCGACATGCCATCACAGACCGGACCACCCCGATTGGGGAAATGATCGACGGCTATCTCAAGAGCCAGGTCGACATGGACGACCACGTCATCCACCTGCTCTTTAGTGCAAATCGGTGGGAAGCAGTGTACGTCGTGTCTTTTTGCCCATCTCTTTTCTTTACCTCTACAGTCGCGGCAGCTTGGGGGTCACGCTCAAACCCCCGGAACCCCATTTTACCCCTGAGCCCCCCTTGAAATCAGCCCGAAGCACCAAATCCGCTCACTCACACACACACACACACACACACCCACCCGCAGAAAAACAATCACGTCCCTCCTCGCCTCGGGCACGACGGTCGTGTGCGACCGCTACTACCACAGCGGCATCGTCTACAGCGCCGCCAAGGGCAACCCGGCCCTGACGCTGCCCTGGGCGCGCGCGCCCGAGGTCGGCCTGCCGCGCCCGGACCTGGTGCTGTTCCTGGACCTGGACGAGGGCCAGGCCCGCGCCCGCGGCGGCTGGGGCGGCGAGGCCTACGAGCGCGCCGGGATGCAGCGCCGCGTCCGCGAGCTGTTTTGGGGCCTGAGCATGGGCCGCGTGGAGCTGTCTGGGGAGGGGGCGTCGCCACAGACGGTGGCGGCGGTGGTGTCGGAGCTGCGGTTCCGGCAAGAAGAAGAAGATTTGCACGTCGTCGACGCCAGCCCGTCGGTCGAGGACGTCGCCGAGGAAATATGGAAGGTCGTGAGGCCCCGCGTTGAGGCGGTCGAGAGGGGCGAGGTTGGGAGGACGGTCCGGAAGGTCTCGTAGGGCGGTCGGGCATGTTTGGGGGTGGGACGGGCCGTGAGACGATGGTCTTTGTCTGGCTGATTGGGTGTGTATGCGCTTTAAAGGATCCCATACACATAATTGCAGCACTGGGAGAGTTTCATCGTTCATCACCACACCACTACACACACCCAGAGCCATACTCTACACTGTCACCAAAATTGTGCATCAAGGTCATGTTTTCAGCAGCCCGCAACAGCAGAAGCAGCCCATATATTGTTGTAATTGAATGCTCCTACCCATAGCGCTAGATGTGACATGCCCAGAGGCAAGCGAGGCGTTGAGCCCGGCAAGGTATAAAACAGATGAAGCCCGCAAAATGTGACCCACGCACCTCACTCCGTCGAACCCTGTTTTTTCGGGGTGTATGATGTTGAAATCCAGAATCCGCCCGATAGCAAGAAAAAAACCACCAACGCCGTGAACAAACTAGCAAGTCTTCTCCAAGGAGGGGCTCCTAAGAAGTTCCTCATAAAAAGGGGATGTGAGCTCGGGGACGGTTGGCCCCCATTCGAGAAGACTCCCCTTATGAACAAAAATGCGCCGAGATGAATGAAGGAAAGAAAAAGAACGCTTCCCAGTACGAGACATGACAACAAGATTAACGGAATGCGTGCAACTCTCATCCCCCGCTCACTAGCACCTGTTGACGCCAATCAGGTTCAGGAACTCGTTTCGAGTGCGCTCGCGGCCCTCGAAGCAGCCCAGGACGCAGCTGGTGATGGTGGTGGCCGTCGACTTCTCGACGCCGCGCATCACCATGCACAGGTGGCTCGACTCCATGACGACCGCGACGCCCTGCGGCTTGAGGATCTCCATGACGGCGTTGGCCACCTCCTTGGTCAGGCGCTCCTGGATTTGGAGCCGCCGACTGAACATTTCGGCGATGCGGGGGAGCTTCGACAAGCCGATGACGGAATTGGACGGGATGTATCCGATGTGCATCTGGATGGGAACCGGGGGTCAGCCGGAGAGCGGCACGCGAGAAGAAAGGGTAAAAAGGGGGTTGCTCCGTTCTCTGCATACCTTGCCCGTAAACGGCACCAGGTGGTGCTCGCACATGCTAAAGATCTCAATGTCCTTGATGATGACCATCTCGTTGTGGCCCTCGTGGAAGATGGCGTTGTTGATTATGTCCTTCACGTTCTGCTGGTAGCCCTTGGTGAAGAACAGTAGGGCCTTGGCGTACCGCTCCGGCGTAGCCAGGAGACCCTCGCGGTCGGGGTCCTCGCCGACGCACTCGAGCAGCGTCCGGACGGCGCCGCGCATCTTCTCAAGACGCTCCGCCGCCTGCTTAGGGGTCTCGTCGAGCCGGGCTCGGGTTCCGACGCCTGCGTGGGCCGAGAAGCTTCATGGTTAGAGAACATGGGACACACATACACACAACTCCCGGGGGGAACTCCCGGAGAGAAGGAATTGTCAAACGTACTGGGCCTGCTCAGGCCGTCAAAGTCTATGACGGGGCTGGGCGACCGGGACTCATCGATCTTTGCGGGCGGTGGAGGCGGAGGGGGCTCGTCGCGGGGGTCGCGGGCGGCCTTGGTCAAGCTGAGCCGGCGGTGGGACAGGCCGGCATTGGGGGCGGCGGGGGCGGCGGCGTGGCTGGCGGCCTTGCGCCTCTTGGACTTTTTGGAGTGCTCGGCGGCGCCGTTGGTCTCGTCAGCGTGCTTGCGCGCGCGCTTGGAGCTGGCCTTGGCCGAGCCCTCGCTGGCCGGTGAGCTCCGGTCGTCGGTCTTGGCCATTTTCGGGAACTGCTGTGACGGGATCGTTTCGGGAGGTGCGGACGGACCGAGTTTGGCAGCGACGAAGTGATCAATGTCGAGCAAGGCGGGGTTCGGACGATCAATTGGTCTCGAGACAGCCCGGAACTAAACCGAGGAGGGTTTTGATCCGGGATGGCCGTCCTGGACGGGTGCCCGGCGGTATTTATCAAGGAGGCGTGCGAGTCACTGCCCTGAACAGACGAAAATTTGCTACTACCAAACACACGCCAGGCGCTGCAGGTTTGGTTTGCGCGTTTACATGCGCTCAGTTGCTTTATCGATGGTGTCTGGGCCGTGTTTGGGGGGGTGGGGTAGCCTGTTCCTAGCTGCAGCCCGCTGAAGCTGGCGCTATCTAATCGGAGCTCAGTTGCTCAGTTGGACCCGCCTCCTCAACTCCGCGAACTCCGCGAAGCCCAGAGGTGTGGCTGCAGTTGGCTTTGGTGGCTTTCTCCTGTGGCTGGAGCATCACGACTCAAGCGGCTGGTTTCAGACGGCGGCGACTTGTCTAGTCTCCTCCCACTCCACAACCAAACAAGCATGCATTTCCCTGCACCCCGGCCAGCTACGGTGGATTCCCCTCGCAGACTCCCAGAGAGCGCTGAAACGCACTGGCCAATCCGATAGAGAGCGCCCGGGGTCATTGCGCGCGCGAGTCGGCGCGTCCAACAAAACCCAAGATGGCGTCGTCACCTCCACCAGCGGCCTACTCGCAGACGCCCACCGCACTCTCACCACCCCACACTGCGCAAACCCACATCTCGCCGACGACCACGACCACGGCCGCGCCCGCCCCGGCCCCCAAGAGCAAGAAGCGACCCTCGATAGCCGATGGCGTCGGCAGCGCCCAGCAGCAGCCCCCTTCCCTGAAGCGACGAAAGGCCTCCATCATGTCCATCGCCTCGACCGGGTCCGCCCACCCGCTGCGGCAGACCTCGTTCCCGCCCGAGGACGTTGGCGGCCCGCGCTCGCCGTCGGTCGACATGGACGCCATGAGCATCGTGTCGGGCAGCCAGGTCAGCGCCGCCGGCCGGCCCGCCAAGAAGAAGCGCGGCCGCAAGTCCAAGGCCGACAAGGCCCGCGAGGCCCGCGAGCAGACGCCGTCCCTGATCAACGGGCGCTCGGGGGCCGGCGGCGGAAGTGTCGTCGGCGGGGCGGGAGGCGGAGGAGCCGACGGCCGCAGCACCACGGGCGCCGCCGCCGCCGGTGCTGGCGGCGGTGACCAGGCAGATGATGATGACGATGAGAACGACGTCGTTCACATGTCGATAACGTCGGCGCGACGGTCCGAGGCTCAGACTGCCGAGGAGAAGAGGCTTCGTGCCATGCTTACGCGCTGCATGGACACGGATCAGTTCGACCGGTTCGGAAACTGGAGGGCCGCAAAACTGCCAGACCAAGTCGTCAGGAGGGTAAGCTTCTACCCAAGGCTTTTACCGCTGTCAACACGGCACTCATAGCTAACACGGCCGTTCTGTCCGCAGGTCGTGAATGCGACGGTCTCTCAGTCCGTTCCCAGTCAGATTGTGATTGCCGTCAGGACAGTCACCAAGTTTTACCTATGCGACATTATCAGAATTGCCCGCGAAGTGCAGGCCGAATGGATAGCGGCGGGTGCTGAGGTGCAGGCCGCCGGCTTTGCCGAGGACGAAAACGGACACATTGTTATTAATCAGGAGATGTCGTGGCCTGGCAAGGTCATGTCGGCCGAGGAGGAGGAGCGGATGCATGCTACTAATGCCGAAGCTGAGGGCGCGGCCGGAAACTCGTTTACGGACAGCAGCACCGGCATGCCCACGCAGGGGTCCATGAGTTTTGCCAGCCGGAACGAGGAGATTCATCAGCAAACGCGCGAGGTCATCCTGCGCGAGCCCCCGCGCGGTCCACTGAGGCCCGAACACCTGCGCGAGGCCCTTCGCCGCTACCAAGAATCTGCGCAGAGCCAGGGAATAGGATCCCTACGGATCTGGCAGGAGCAACAAAAGAGCGGCGTTGAGCGGTTTCCGTCCAGGACAGGGGGTCGGCGGATCTTCAAGTGACGAAGATGGGTTTATACTGCATTGCTTTAAACCTGGAATGGCTAGATTCTGGGGCCAGAACGGCCTCACAGCGCATCATGATACCCGCCATTATTGTCTGCCCATTCTGCTTGGTACATAGACTATCAGAGGCAGACACATGAAATAAACAAAAACACAGGAGTTACCAGTGGTAAGTGGTGGCTCTGGGTTTAACAGACGAAACGTGGGGGATTTATTACTATTTGCATCAGTCACTACAGAAGAAGAAGCCCGTTCTCTCGGGGGAATGACCAGCAAAGAGTCCCAGCTCAGCCGAGGAAACACTTTTCTCTCCAAATTGCCTCACTCTCCAGAGTCGACCACCCATCCCGCCCTTGCACAACAACAACCCCGCCCCGATTTACAGGACAAGAGCGGCGGCGGCGATGCACAGGGCGAGCGGGGCGACGACGGCGGCAGCGGCGGCGGTGACGGGCTTGTTGGAGTTGCCGCTGCTCGCGTTACCAGTACCCGTGCCGGAGCCGGCCGAGCCGCCAGCGCTGGCGCCGCCCGCGCCGGGGCTGGTGACGGCGCCCTGGCGGTTGGTGCAGTTGCCGGGAGCAAAGGCCTGCTGGCTCTGCTTGAGGGTGTCGGTGAAGCCGCCCGAGACCTGGGCGGCCAGCTGCTGGACCTCCTTGGGCACCTTGGTGACGACGGCGTCGATGAGCTTCTTGGCCAAGTCGCCGATGTCGCCCGACTGCTTGAAGACGACCTCGCACAGGCCCGCGTTCTCAAAGGCCGTCTTCTTGTCCGACAGGGCCTGGATCAGGGCGTTGCCGTCGCTCTGGAGCCCCGTCACGGTCCCCTGCAGCGTAACGGCGTCGTTGAGCGAGATGGGCGACGTGGCCGTGATGTCGGCCGCGCCCTTGTTGAGGCTGTTGAGCATGTTTGTCGACGCCGTCAGCAGCTGCGCTGGGTTGCCGTTGAAGCCGTTGATGGCCGCCGTCAGCTCCTTGATGCGGTTGTCCGCGTTGGTCACGACGTTGGTGATGGTCTGCGCGTCACGCGCCCCGAGGGCGGGGAGGGCGGCGCGCAGGTGTGACTTGAGCTGCACCGAGGCGAGGGCGGCGCCGGCCGAGAGGGCGAGGGCGAGGATTTGCATGGCGGCTGTGTTGTGGGTGTGGTGGTGGTGGTGGTGGTGGTGGTGGTGGTGGTGGTCAAGTCTGGCGCAAGTGTGTGTTGTTTAGTATTGTTCCCCTGATATGTGCCTTTTGCTGACGGGATGTCGATGATGGCGAGTATGTAGAACGAAAAGATGAAGGCGCTCGATGGGTGTTTGAAAGGTTAATATAAGCAGCCCTCTGTGGGCGCCCATGATGTGGTTGTGAGGCGACCGACATGCACGTCTGATATCCTGCTGTCGCAGCCATGGTCGCAGGCCTCTGCCGGTGCGTGGCCAAAACACGGCTTTGCCCTCCCGCAAGCTCCGCCCCGGATACCGAGCCACGAACCTTGCCGTCCGTCCGAAGGGGAAGACTCTCTGGGAAGGCAGAGACTTGGTGACGAACGAATCGCGGGGCGTCGTCTCTGCTTGCTCGTCTTGTGTCTGAAGCGGGCGAAGCCCACCCAACGCCACACACATCTGGTAGGTTGTGTGAGGTGGGTTACATGATATACCCCACACCTACAACGCTAGTATTTAGTCCTGGGATCGTTGACTTTTCCTTTGCCGGCTTTCCCTTAATCCGATAGTTTGCACCTCCGACATAGGTACCTCCAGTGCAGCTTTGGAACCACCGAATGCCCCAAGGGACGAGGAGGTGGGATCGAGACCGATTGCGTGTCTTGGCCGGGTCCGTGGCGCGGGCACTGTCAGATATGCGGGCTGGCTGCAGGGAGATGCTTGCGTCGCCCTCTTTCTGGGTCGGCGTTGCGATGAGAGAGTACTGTAGGCGTGGGCACAAGGTTCGGCCTCGCTCGGCAGCCACCCCCTGCCAAAATGTTGCTGTTAACACCATGTTGCCCTGAGCCTGTATGGGAGGGATATGGCCGGGCGGTGGCCTTTTCCTGATGTCTATCGCCACAAGACGCCAGAGGGCGGAGATACTTTTTCCTCAGCCACGGCCACGCGCTACCACCTCTTTCTAGCGGCAAACAACTTCGTCCAGCTGTTTCGGGGCGGCACAGCAAAGGACCTCCCAGCTCTTTCTCGGTATCGGGCTCGATTAGAGTTGATGGGCTGCAGGGATGAAACCTGCGGCCAACATCAGACGGCGGGCCCGGCGAGACGATCGGGCACCCAGCTCCTGGGGTGTTTGCCGCAGCATGGGCCCCCGTGATGGCCCCTCTCTCTCTCCCTCTTGGTCGGCCTCATACCAGGCCTTGCATTGGCGACCAAGCCACGCACCAATGTGGCTGGCTTGCCGCACACATCGACGACGTCGTCATTATCTCACCTGGCCCCGAGCGTGGCCAGACGTGGGCATCCATGTTCCCCGCCCGCTCCTCCGCCGGCGGTCTTGCTCCGAAGGGCTGCGCGAGTGCGGTAGAGCAATCTCGATGTCACGATGCTGTCATACGCACATGGCGTCGAGTGCTCCCATGTGTCCATGCGAGGGTCTTGGCGGCGCGGCCAGTCAGGAGAGGGGT